ACAATGGTAATTGCGCACGCACTTGGCCAAAAACACACACACAGCTGGGTAAAGAAAACCACACAGGAGGTGTTTGTCAGCAGTGCATAAAGATAAAGGGGCCTTAACTGCTGGTTGAAGGCCTGTGTGTATGCCGTGTCAGTTACAAAAGTTGTTTGACTATATTTCATTATGCAGGTGAGTGCAAATTGTGTAATACAGTGTACCTGTACTTTGTTTGTGACATTGTGTTTAGATTCTCTTTTTTGGTTGTTATGACTGTTTTTCATGCACTGAAATATTGTACGGTACTTTGTCTACACTCCAGGTCTTCCTTGCCAAGAGGATCCTGCCTTAGTGTGGGATCTCAACAAGAGGCAAACTTCATGTGTGTATGTATATACAGTATGTAGTGTGTATATGTATATATGTAGTGTGTATGTGTAGGACAGCGGTAGTGTATTTATGTTAATCTTGTTTTGCACCGTACGTAGCCAACCGTGCTAATCAGAGTGTAGCGGTTAGCTCTCTGCTCTATGAACCCGGGGACCTGAGATTCCCACTCACAACCAACACCAGTGACGATTATCTGAACCGGTCCTGGGCCTCCTATACGTCGACTCAGCCTCAAATTAGTACCTTGTGCAGTGCGTAAAATCATCGCCACAAGGGAGACGAAGGATGCCAGGCGTGGTGCTGGCCACCCACCCCCTCGTGTGCTGTGCCGGCCTTCATAGGTGCTCGCTAACAGTACTTGACCCAACAGTCTGTTTAAGCTATACGGGGGATCTTTGTCTTGCCTTACATTTAGGAGAGCGGTATTGTAGTAGTTAGCGTTCTGTGGCGGCCCAGTGAGTGTAGGCCCGGTGAGTGTGTAAATGTGCTAGTTTGGGGGAAACGTAACCCCATTTGTACGTTCTTTGCAGAAGTGATGTGCCTGTGTATGCACCCTCTGTGTGGGTGGTGTCGTGGTTATCGCACTCCGCTATTAACCCGGCGAAAATAATTTTATTCCCGGTCACGCTAGCATAAGTGACAAATATCTCAACCGGTCTAGGGCCACTAGGGCCACATCTAGGGCCACTTTATATACGTACCATGTGCGGTGTGTAACACACATGTGTAACATAAGCACCTGAGAGGCTAAAGCGGCCACGTGTGTTGTTGACATCACCATCCCCACATGTGCCGACCTTAATAGGTGCTCACTAACAGCACTTGCTTTAACAGCCTCTGTAGGCTACATGGGGGTCTTTGTTTTTGTATGTGAGTGTGCTTGAGTGAAGAGGTAATTGATGAGTGGACGGCCGTGACAGGATGAGAGCCCGGTGGGTTGACGTGTCTCCTTCACGAGGTTAGATGTGTACAATGCGGTGTAGGGAACGCGACAGTGCAGCTCGGCTTACATCAGAGAAAGCATTCACACAAATAAAACATTACCTCCTGTGACACACAGGGCTCAGAAATTTGATCAATGACAAAAAAAATAGAGACCAAAAACTGAAAAGCGTGCCAAAGAAGCGTGGAAAGAGGAACGCTTGAAATTGTGTTGAGAGACAGAAAGAGGAACACATGGATGAGATAACACTCAGGTAATGACATCATTCAAATTTAAGGAGTGAGTTGTGCTTGGGCAGGATGCGTCACGGCTAGAAGGGGTGATGGGCAACGGCCAAATATAATGACGGAGTAGTGGCAGCCAAGGAATGGAAGACGTTTATAGAGGACGTCCACCAAGGAGGTGGAGCGATAAGTTCAGTTCACGGTGCTGTATGGATTGTTGCATCACAGCATCGTGAGAGGTGGTGTTGGCTCGGTGAGGCCTGCATCCAGCAGTGGATTGATCATGGCTGATGTTGATGATGAAAACATGAAACCGAGAATAATCACTCGAAAGCAAAATGACTCGTGACAGAGCAATTGCCACAGGATTTGGCAGGGATGGGTTTCAGTATCAACAGTTTTAACAGGTTACATAATATTCACTAATCCCGACATGGAGCAATAATACATTACTTTCATGCCTGTGGCAATCCTCTGCATTCAGTCTTCAATAATGCGAGTTCAACCCCGATGAAGCTTGGTGAGCTAAATAGAGTTCAAAAGAACTCACAAACATCTTGTGAAAGACCCATCGCAGAAGTACCTTCAGTTTGATCTTGCAGGGTCCACCCTAATCCACATCTGCACAAACCATGGCAGATGCGGATACCTGATGCACAAATGGAAAATATAAAAACAGTGTCCGACTGTGGACATGCAGATCGGACCATACAAAATATAACGATGCAATGCCCAATCCACAAATATGAAGGAGACATCACGGCAATACACATTCCGCTACTCATGACATGGTTATGTGGCTTGACCACCTGATTATGAAATTGTAGTTGTTGCTCTGCATCTACATCAGCCATACGAAAGAAGACGCCTTTCATAAGGGTTGTGAGACCATACTTCACCATGCTGGTCAGTGAAGGGGGAGATGCTCAGGGCTGGTTTAGATATCGCTCACCGCTGGTGTTATCCGCTTTGAGAAACGTCCCACAATGACCGGATTTTTCACTTTGCCAACTTGTGGCACGCGGTCCACGGATAAACCCAGCTTAAAGCGTGGATGCAGCGATTGAATAATCCATCGTGCACGCCAAGGTGAGGGCGAACGCACCCACACGTGGAGAGCCATCGCGAAAGATAAAGAGAAAAATCCCTCGTATAACCTTTAACAGACTGTAGGGGCAAGTGCTGTTAACGAGCACCTATTAAGGCCAGAACGGCACACGCGGGGGTGGGTGGAAAGCACCACGATGCCTTTGGCTCCCAAGTGGCGATGTTTACACATCACACCATGTATTAATTTAAGGCTGAACCATCACACACACATGCAGCTTCCACAGGGCCTTGCACAGCATTGTGGGGAACGCTTTTACCACCCAGCATGCCGTGCGGCGTAAGTGTTGCCTGCCCCGACCCTGTGTTTCATGGTTCGACATTTTAATCGCGGTTGGGAATGGGGCGGCAGTGTCCTCTCGTTGAAGTCCCCTTTGCCCACAGTTACCCTGGCTACCTGTGGGTTACCGAGGTTACCGAGGTTACCCGACGCTAGGGGGAGTGGTCATGCCCTGCCCGTGATCCATTTCGCTCTGGGCCAGTGTGGGTGAGGCCCAATTACAGCAGCAACGACAGAGCTAAGAATAACTCGGCAACAGCCGCCTACACATTCACTGCTCCCGGCCTCCCTCTCTGCAGCAAGCGAGGTCGTTCCTCATGTGCTGCTCCTACTGCCTACAGCAGCTGTCTCTTCACCACTCATATTTCAGTCCTCGACCATTGGTTGAACTCTAAAGCTCTCCTCAAGGTGGCCAGGGGATGGTATTAAGCAATGGATTGTTAAATCTATCGGTGTGAACTAATTTTGGCTGTTGCTCATCTGCCTTGGCAGTCCTGAGCTTGAGGGCAATTCCGCGTTCCTATGACGGCGGCCAGGATCTCTGTAGAACAGCCATGAGAGGCAACGGTGTTTATCTTCACATCGGTACATATTTTCAAAACGTAGCGGTTGTTCTTTGCTGCAAGTCTCCCTTGTAAAAAAAAACGAATTGTCTCAATTGACTCTCACCTCCCTAAAGACATCGGACACTGATTGGTTGATTGAACGATGTTAACGAGGTGACTGAGGGGGGGGGGGGGATATCGCTGGGGGACCGTCCTCACCGCACGCATTTCCAAGCGCACCACGACGACCGTCTGCAGCTCCGGGCGGCCTCTTCCCTTTCCCACCTCCCCCACCTTCCCCCATCAGCTGTTCTTACCTGGAGTCGGCGGTGGGGGGGGGGCAAGCCAGGTGTGTGCGCACTCAGCAGCTGCTGTGTGCGTTCATCGCGTCTGTGAAGTCACCGCCTTGCCTGTTGTTGCAGTCGGCCGTTAACGAGAGACTGGAGGAGCGAGCGATGCTTATCAGTTTAGTGGGGGGGGGGGGGGGACTTAAACCCAGATGTAGCGGTGAGATTTTAGTGGTCCTTAAATGACTTATCTATGTAGAAAGGGGAAGACATGAAGACAGGTGAGACGGTAAGAGCGGCCTTTAAAGGACGTGTTGACTTTGTAAAATGGGGTGGGGGGCCTAAAGCCAAGTGGTGGTGGTGATAAGATTGTCAAATTCAGACCTTGCAGTGGCGGATGTCGCCTGTGTAACCCTTGTGGGATCTGGCAGAGAGAAGGAAACGATGGTGAGGTGTGTACGCGCATCGGCGGCAGTGGGTTGATCGCGATATTCGTCAGTGACACTGCCGTTGCCTTGTAAAATTAATCACCCAGGTCTCCCTTGATAGAGCCTGATGGTCTCACCGGGCTCTTTCATGCACGTTAAGGGCGTCTATTACTAGCTGTAGACCTAAATTACCAGGTGAGCGCCCATTAATACCAAAAGGTTTTTTTTTTTCTCGGGAGAGCTGAATTCATAGCTGTGCGGTAATTCGAAGTTTCTCACCAAAGTTGATAGCTCCTCAATGTAAACACGTAAGAGGAAATTTAGTAAGCGTATTAAACCTGTTGCCCCGTATTGCGATTCCATTGTCACAATTCGGGGGTTGCCAATGGATTCGGGGATCGATGTTTTTGTTACATTTAAGGTTCGGTGTGTTATTGCACTACGAGCGGGTGCAGGGGGACATGTGAAGCGATTATATGCAACAGCAACGAGATGCGCGGAACGAGAATAATCCGTCCAATAACACGCATGATTTTCAGTCGACATTAGCAGCACATGAATCGATTTTAATCTGCCTGGTTTTCGCACGTACAATTTTGTCAGGAAATCTAGTCCGTTGAAATGTGGCGGGATGTTAACTACCTCGCCTGGAATGCAGGAGGTCGTGGGTTCTATCCTGACCCTGACGCCTGTATATTTGGAGCTTGCATGTTCTCTCCATGGTCGCTCGGATTTTTATCTGGGTCCTCCGGTTTTACCCTCCACATTTAGAACCATGCGATTAGAGTATTTGGCTCTGGTTATAAATTTCCACGACATAAGCCACTTCGTTGAGCTGTCATTTGTGGCCAGGTCGCTGCTGAAAAAGAGCGATATAGCTCAGTGGATCTAGTAAAATAAAAAATCGTGACAATTGCAATGTATGAACACTCAATCCACTGAAAACATCATTATATTAGAGGACCGCAGAGCTTGGGTAATCATTGGTAGCGTCGGCTCGCCACCTGGCTGCTTCCATCTCGCTTGTCCGTGGCTTGTCAACTTTTGTGAAAGATGCAATGTGTATGGAGGTCAGCGCGATTACAGTATATGAAACCGAAACATGAATATTAAATGTGAAAAACACTTTCACGCAGTGTCCGGTAAAGATTGTGAAGGCTTGTTGAAGACCCAATTGGGATGACATTTTTTAATGTGGTGTAGATGCCATATCAGTTTGGTGGGCTCATGTGTGAGGGGCAATCAGCAGCTGAGAGGATTAATTGGCCTTAATTTAACCAGGTGTGAGCCCACTGGGATTTATTACCTCTTTTCCAGGGTGATGAGGGACGCTGTTGCCAGCTTACTAAGTTCGGCACAATTTAAATAACGTCAATTTCCAAATTATCAGCCCATAATGGCCTTGCTCATGAAAATGATGATTGCATATAGTCATTTAGCATCCATCGACAATTTAACAGAGTTCAAAGTGGGATTTGTGAAGTGACTAAATACGATGGAATGCGTCTCGAGGCCTTTGCATGAAGTCACTCGCACGCAACCTCTCGTCACCGATCATGATCGTAAAAATAATAATAATGTACCTAGGAAATTATAATTGAGTCTCAATACTATTTTCAGGAGGGTCCTATCACATTGAGGTCTATTGGCAATTGCTTAATCGCTTAAGTATCTGGAATAGTCAACACTCAATCCATACAGATAGGTCCGCAATACATTTGCGGTACTGCCACCACCTGGTCACCTGGCAGCCGAGCAGCAGGGGGGGGGTCTCATCACACGGTGATCCCTGTGTAATCCACCAACCCTCATCTCCCGAGGGCTGGATCCCAGGCGTGCTCCACCATACCCGCCTATTGTCTTTCCCTTCTCTTCTGTCAGTCATCCCATGCTGGTTGATAATGAGGTTGCTCGAACTTATTCCGCTCCTTTTCTCCGGTCATGGCGATCACTTTGGTCTCTGTTAAGTCCTCCATTAATCCGGCTCTTGTGTGGACATCATCTCCTTGCTGCTTGCATGTGGCAGTTCAAGGCCATTGATGATGGCCATCATCTCTTGGTCTCCATCCTTTGCACCAAAGTTTCCCTGCTGTGTAAGCTTTTATATGTCTTATTTCTTATACACCCACCTTTAACTCGATATAAATTGGTCACGCGTCGGAGGGAAATCTTCACTAAAAAAAACACGGGGCAGTGTTCGCCTCCACTACCAGCCCCCAATGTCACAAAACTGTGAAATGGAAAAACCGGACACCAGGGCACCAGGAACCTCCATCTTCACGGCGCTTCCTCCGTCTGCGATTCCGTCGGACCGGCTCCCACCTCACCCCTCCGTGTGCAGGTTGCCACCATCACTGGCGTTGGAGGCCACCCGCTAGGATGGGAGCAAGCGGCTCTAGTGGTGCCCAGGGCAGAGGAATGGCCGGGGCGTGGCAGCAGGAATGATAGTGGAGTGGCGGCAGGAATGATCGCGCTGGCCAGCAAACAAGAAATGTCGGTGCATTCCTTGTGAAAAAGAGACTTTGTGGCCCCGGGTGGCGCTTGGTATCCCAACTAACTTTTACCATGGCCACAGAGCCAGACCGCTCACCGTTTGCAGGATTGGGCTGCTCGCTACGCCGGCCTGGTGTTGTGCAGCGACTGCGTTGCTGTGTCCAGCTGGGAGCAGCAGTTGTAAATAGAGCGAGTTCAGATCTCCTCCATCCCTCCTGAGGTTTGTAAAATGAATACAATTTAACGGCGAAGTCACCATTGGCTGTCCTGTGTGAATCGACTCGCGTCTCCACAATAGGAATTTCCAGCACTGGCTCTGGGCTATGAACTAGAGATGAGCACCGCCCTACGCTGGTTTGAGCAGGAAATCGCTTGAACTCCGAGACCGCTCCCAGAATTTGCAAGCGTGTTGTCCACTGTGAATCGTGCGTTAGAGGGTCCTATGAAGTCGTTCGCAAGAGTAGGCCTCTTGCGTGTCACTCTGCAAGTCCGATATGACCGGAAAAATCCTGTAAATGATGATGTTTTCTCTTCCTCATGATGTTTATGCTGTCCCACCTGATGTCCTTACCCTGGCGGTCTGAGATCACAACCTCCTGTAGTAAAACATAAATAAACGCCGACGATACCGTTGCTGCACCGGCTCTCATCTCAAGAGCAGGTCCTTGACCTCTGGCAAGATCTAACCACCTCCTACAACGTACGTACAAACGTCTTGAGCGTTAAACAGAGGAGGACTTAAGACACAGCAAGTTTGCCACCAGCGTGGGTAAGACATCAGAGGGCAAGGAGCTCCGGGCTTTGGTGGCGTGGGATATTAAGGAGGAGGCCGAGAGAGGGAGCGCGTCGACAGGAACAGCTCGGCTGTGAGGTCACCCTCTTGGTCCACCTCCTTTCCCACCGCAGTGACTCCCTCCATGTGAGAACCAAGCTGGGGAGTGCGTTGGGGTGGGGGGGGTGAAATTGGGTGCCTCGCTCTCCTTATCTCCGCCCCGCATCGGAATGTGGCAGTGCGCCACGCTTTTCACAACGTGGATATCGCGGTGGGAGTGTGGGCGTTATTGCTCTGCACGTCTCTTCCTGCTACTGCTGCTGTTACGAGGGATATCACGGCTTCGTGCGCAGCTCTGGTGAGCCTCGCCAGAAAGCTCTTCACGGACGAACACGAAATGCGGTCCTTCGCTGTCTCTTCCTGTCTCTGCTCATCTCTCCCCATCCCTCACTGTCTATCTGTGTCTCTCCAACTCTCCCCGTACCTCTGTCCCTCCCTATCTCTTGCTTTCTCTCTGTCTCTCCCTGATCCTCCCCTGGCATGCCCATCATTCTACAGCTTGTCCTGTCTGCCCGTGGATTCCTGTCAGTTTCTATCTATCTTGGGTATGTCCCCTATCAGTCATAAACTTGTTGTTGTCCCCCTTTTGTCCTTCCGAGTTTTGACCGACTTGGCCCATGATCACTGGATCGGTTTGGATTGGTTGGTCATTTCTCATCATTCTTGTTTGATCATAATTTGTGTGAATTAACTTGCACTTTGTGGTGTGAAAGGTGCTTGAAAAATACATATTTTATTTATAACCCTGCATTTAGCTGTGCAAGAGTCATTGTGACTATAACTTTCGCTTTCTTCCAAGCAAGACCTGGGCAATATTAGTCCTGTATTGGCACGGATCGTATAATGTTAGAGGCAGAGGTACTGTTAGGGGAAGGGATATGGATAGAGAGGGCGTGGTTATTGTTCAGAGTTATGGTTATTCATAGGGGTAGGATTAGTCAAAGAAGTAGGGTGAGTAACAGTATTAGGTTTATTGTTATAGATGAGGATGGTGTTGGTAGTTTTTGGGGTCAGGAGGTAGTTTATTGTCGACCACAGACAGATCCCTGAAGTCTGCAGCGCAGTTCCAACCCTCACATCACCGCAAGGCAACAGCGCTGCCATCCACTGGTATTTTTCTTGTGTGTGGCCCCTGGTGTAGTGGTGAGGTTGGGGTCGGGACAATGTGTGGGGCTGGGTTCTGGTGTTGCGAGCTAAGAATGCATCCCTGCATTTCGAGGCCCCGAGACTCGACGTCTCTCCCCCCGCGCCGCTCAAAGCTTCAAACGCAGAGAGACTCACTTGCAGCACAGTCCATCCTTGTGCGCTCACACAGGTGTGTGCGGGAAAGAACATCCATCGTAGAGATGGAATGATTTTCTCACGGGAAAAGCTTTCATAATAAATGTTTTTTTTATAATGCCAGAATTGACGCCCGATTATGCTGGATGTAATTACCAGCGAAACGTTGGATTCATATTGTAAGTGTTGTGGATTTACTCTCCAAAACACCGGTGGGCTGAAGTAGTAACTAATTTTTGATTTAAAGCTTTCGTGACTGCAGGGATTCATATTCTTGGTTCTTTCGGTAAAGTCACGTGAAGGGAAACAATAAAATAATAAAAATATAAAACAATAAAATTCTCACGACGTTTCGACTGCAACACAAGCAATCATCATCAGGTGTGAAAACCACAGCAAGAAAATTTCAAGAACCAAGAAAATAGTAACTAATTGGTACGTTTTGTTCTAGTGACAAATCTTACTCATTGGCTGTCGGGTGGTGGCGGGTTAATGGCACATTTATACGTCTGCGATCTAACCGAAAAAAAAACTTTTACTATGAATTATATTGGTCGCGAAAGCCCACGTGTCAAACCGACTCTGCTCAACCGTTGTGATTTCAAATCCCCAGTTGGCAGCTGATTTGACCCATAATCCCTTTGAGGTGGAGTCCTTGTGGGAAGTCACCATAGATTGTTTTATGTCTTACGGGGAGACTGGGCTCTGCCATAGAGCATATTCAATTTCCACGACTGGTTTGTGGGAAATCGCCCGCGTTACGAATTTTTGAGCATTGATGCACTTTAACTTTTGTTTCGTAACTTGTTTAACTTGGGGAGCACCATTGAAATTCAACACACCTCTCCTGCACAGCAGATCTACCAACGTGCATGGCAGGGTCAACAAGTGGTAAGGTCAGCCCGTGGTAGTATAAAGCCTATCGAAGGTTCAACACGTGGAAGGAGATCAGCGCATGGCAGGGTCAATACGTAGCCTGGGCATGAGGCTAGGGTAATGGTCTGCTTAGTTCAAACTCTAATTTGAACGTGTAACAGAAGACTCAAGAGTGGCCGGCCCTTCTGTTGATGTGGCTGTTCGAGTCCGGAGCCCTTGTTTTTTTTGCGGCTGTCGTTGCGACCTCGCAGAACTGGTATTTTAGGTCTTGCTTGCTCGGCTCAGGGGGTCCACGGCCCCCCGTGGGAGGGCATGATGGGGCAGCCATCGGACCTGCCTGGGATGAGGCGTACCATGCTGAGATGGCCGGCGTTGTTTTGACGAAAAACGCAGCAGGAAGGGGGCCCCCGCAGGGGTCTGAGTGGGTGGTTCGACTTCGGCAGGAGGGGGGGCAGGGAGGGGGAGCGAGGAAGGGGGGATGGCGAGTCACGAACATGGGTGCCGCAAATCCTATCCAGTTGCCTGGCCCTGTCTCTAGCCCTAACACTAGCCCTAGTCTGTATACTGATGACAACACTAATCCTAGGCTTAATGCTAACACTGGCTCTAACATTCACCCTAGTTTTTACATTAATCTAAACACAAACCCTCGGCTTAACGCTAAGGACTGTTTATGTTCCTGATAACTCCAACACGAACCATCGTACTGACCATAGCCTTTACAATAACGTTTGCCCTCGTGCTGACACTAACCCAAGGCAGCTGGGTGAGAGAGAGAGAGAGGCACCTCGTTCAAACGAGGAAACGTCTCTTAGCAACGTGCACTTACAACAGGAAACTAGAGGGCCGCAACGGCATTAACAACAGCAGCAACAGAGGAGTAGCAGAGGGAGCAGTAGTTGTAGAAGTCGCAAATCCTGTAGCAGCAGCATCCGAGGTAGTTGGAGTAGAGGCAGCAGTAGCCTGGATGGTAGCGGCAGCATCAGAAGCAGAGGCGAAATCGACAGCAATTACGGTAGCCACAGTCAGAGCAAGGGATAGCAACAGTGGTAGCTGCAGAAGCAGAAGCAGCAGCATCAGTTGATGAGCAGCGTGCAGGTTTTGTTGCTGGTGTGCGATGGTCATCAAACATCGGCGTCCAGTGTTTCTGCAAAGGGCGGAGAGGAGTGAGGAGAGACGAGATTTTAATCTCGAGGAGGGTGTCGACACTTCCGGAGAGGTTTACACAAGCACGGCAATCCGGGTCTAGGGTACTCAGTGTGAAGATCCCGCAGTCCAACGTTACCCAACGACGGAACACTTGCTCGCGTGACACGGCGGTGCGTGGCGAGTTTGTGTATAGTACGTATAAACAAGGGAGCGACGGTGGATTGGTTGGCATGCCTGCGTTACGATTCCGGCTACTACCCACGGCTAAGTTCCTCGCCACACACACCCATCAGTGTTACATGGGGTCAGCATCTTGCCTGGGCTACCCCTCAAGTGAGTAACGAGTGCAAGTGTGTCAATGTCAGCAGTAGGGAGACGAATATTGCCAGGTGTTGCATGGCGGGGTGGTGTTAGTAACACCACCCCGTCATGTGCTGTCGGCCTCTTAGTAGGTGCTTGCAAACTATTTGCCATAAGAGTCTACAAGAATAAGTGTGGACATGTCCAGTTTAGCGACCCGAGTTCAATTCCCACTCACAGCCAACACTAGTGTCGGTTAACTGTACCAGTCCTAGGCCTCTCCTAGGTCGACTCGGCCTCAAATGAGTATCTCGTGCGATGTTTATCAGCACTGTGGAGACAAAGGCAGCCGGGAGTGGTGTAGGCCACCCACCCCCTTGTGTGCTGTCCCGACCTTCATAGGTGCTCATCACTTGCCAAAAAGTATCTTGAGGCTATACGGGGGATTTTTGTATTTGTATCTATATATACACACACACCCATAAAATCCACTCGGTTGAATTGCAGTGAAATTGTCGTCTACTGTGCCACATGGCGGTTGTGTGTTGATTGTGCTTCTCCACACTGCTCCGGGCGGGGTCTTATTATAGCAAAGTGTTTTTTTTATGTTGTATTGTTTTTGAAGTTTCTCATCCAGACAGGGTTCGCTACAGGCAGGGCTGACATATACATGTGCCCCCCCCCCGCCTCCTGTCCTCCACTCCCCCCCCACCACTCTCCCTTCTGTCCCCCCCCCGTCCCCACAGGCGATCCCATGACACGGGGACGGAGCGCGACGAGCAGTTGATGGAAGAAAAGAAGAAAAAGAAACAGGAAGAGCGACACAGGAAGAAGGGCGGCTGCTTGCAAAGGGCAGTAAGTACGCACAAGTACCCAACGCACGCACAGACACATCTACAGACACACTCTTACACGTATATATGAGTTATTGTTCACATGCTCACTCGCCTGAACATGTATGCATCTGCACACACCTCCCTCCATTTATTCACCTGCAAACACTCGCCAGCATTCTCCTGCACGTATCTATACTCATTCACCAAGCACATGTACTCATCTGCATGTACACACCTGCACACAATCACCTGCCCATGTATGCAACTACACAAACCTCCTCTCCCACGTACTCACCTGTACCTGCACATATCCACCCACCCACAACCCATTCATCGTCACCTGCTCACCTGCATGCATGCACTCACACCTACACTGAACTCACCCACTCACTTGCACACTCATGCATTCATTCACTCACCTGCACACGCATGTGAGCTGTCTAACCGCCGATTGTCTCGTGTGTCGCCTCCACTCCCCGTCCCTAGGCCGCAGGTGAGGATGCACTGAGAGGTGAGTCCACACCTGTGTTCACACCTGGTCACAGGTGACCACGTGTGTAGTCTTCCCCCAAGCATGCGGTTGTGGTAAAGTGTGGTTGGGCACGAGTCGCGGTTGAGTTGCCAAGTGGAGAACAAATCGCAACATGGCGGGGGGGGTGGGGGGTGTACAGAAACTCCGCGGACAGAAGTCCTGAAAGCTGTGCTCCTGAGTTTAGAGGAGGGGGGGGGGAGATTGGGTTCACTGCTCACGTGAATAAACCAAGTTATAGTTAGACCATAACACCTAACCCAATGTGTCAAGTTAACCAAGATTAGGATAATGGCCGAGTCCAGCTAAAGCCTCAAGTAAGGTTTAAGGTTGCGCCTGAGTTTAGCCCTGGCCTTAAGGCTAACCTAGACACAGCAGCCCAATACGTGCCTGGTTTAAAGTTACTTCTATTGCCCAGATCTTGTCATCGGGACAGAGTCAATTGATTATTTAATGAATTCTATAGCACAGCACTTGTTTTATGCGCATTCCTATGTTGCTTTCTATGATTATCTTTTGTGCTGTTTATTTTTGCCGTAGTAACAGTATAGTTTTATGAAATCCAGTAAAAATGAGTTTGTTTCACGGCCATGGATTACATCAATGACAAGTGATAGCTGTAAAACTAGACTGACCAGCGTGGTGAAGAATAGCCAAACAATTGTCATGATCGACATTGCTTGGGAGAGCCTTTATCCAGCAGTGAATTGACAAATGGATGGAAATAACTATTGATTACGGAAGTATATCCCGTCTGGTTTGTGCTCAATTAGGGTGACTGACGCACATTTGCAAGGTTACAAGTCAAAATCGCTGTCGGGGATTGACTTGGGGCCATCATTGCTTCCGGGGTCGATAAAACGATCACTGCTTTGTGTTGATGGCAGCTGTGGAATTTCCAGCAGTGGCAGCGGCCGCGAGCAAACCTCCTTTTTGCTCTTTTGAGCAGGGAGACTCTTCAACTCTTGAGTTAGTTCCGTGCCACATGTCGCGCACGTCTCAGCCGCGCCCTCGCCTGGTTCTAAATAAAAATCTCGCCGATTGATGTTTTTGTCTGAGAACCGATTTGAAAAAGAGACCGACTTGTTGAGACCTTTCGCTTCCCGGGGCAACCTCGCGTTGTAACCGGTCTCACAGGCGCGGGTACCGGTTCTGGAGGGAATTTGTGTTTATTTTTGTCGCAGTGTCACAGGTTTTAGTTGACGGCGTCTCACGTGGAGCGGACATGCGCCGCTGCACGTGCTCGCTTCAATCATGACCCTGTTTCTCGGGGTCACAAGCATTTGTGTGTGAGTGAGTGGACGCGTGCGTTTACTGTAGTGTCGGGAGCGGTCGTGTAGTGGTTCATGCGCTGTGCTGACCGCTCAGTGTCTGGTGCGATATTTAAAACATCGCCACTGGGGAGACAAATGCGGCCGTGCATAGTGCTGGTCAACCCCCACCCCCTTATGTGCTGTGCCGACCTTCATAGGTGCTTGTTAAGAGCACTTGTCCCAAAAGTCTGTAGAGGCTATTCGGGGGGACCTTTGTTTTTATTTTGTCTCGGTAGTTGCTCACAAACAGCACTCGGCCTGACAGTCTTCAAGGCTAAACAGGAGTCTTTATTGTTGCAATTCTACAAGTGTGGTGTAGTGTTTTTGTTAAGTGCATGACACAATTTGTTCATGGATTTTTGTGGATGCACAACTCTCTAGTGTCTTGTGCTGTGTCAGACTTAATAGGTTCTCATTGACAACATATGCCCCAAAGGTTTACAAGGCTAAACGGGGCATATGTGTGGTAGCGGTCCTGCCCTAGGTCGACTCAACCTCAAATGGATACCTGGTGCAGTGTATCAGGACGAGGAAGACAAAGGTGGCTGGGCGTGGGCTGGCCACACCACTCCCTCGTGTGCGGTGCCGATCTTCATAGGGGCTCTCGAACAGCACTTGCCCCAACAGTCTCTTCAGGCTATGCGGAGGATATTTGTCTTTGTGGTTTCATGCACTGCGCTGCAATCCTTGTAACCTGGGTGTCTTCCACGAATAACATCGGTGGCATGTGCAACGCGACTTGGCCTTGTTCTAGGTTAACTCGGCCTTATAAGAGGTACCTTGTTCAGTGTGCAAATGTCAGCATTGGGGAGACGAAAGGACAGCTCAGCGTGGTGCTAGATGCACCATGGTGCCGTCCTGGTGCTAAATAGGTCCCCGCTAGCAGCACTGGCCCTCATCCGTGCATGGCCTGCACTGCTAAATGGGGGGGGGGGGGGATGGCGCTTTGCGTTTATAGCTGCCAGTGCCTTAATTTTCCCCGCAGTATTTTGGCATATGCGGGATGTGCATGTGGGTGGCCGCCTCTCTGCTCTACACACAGCCTCTGCGTTTAGAATTATTGCACCAGTGGGGGACGACGAGTTTTGGCCGCAATCTCTGTTTCTTGTCAATCCGTCCAGCCCAGATGTCGCCTGTCCAACGCATGCCTGTCAACTCCGTATCTGTGACCTTATTACAGACCAATTCAGATCTTATTGAGCACCCGTGCCCTTATAAATCTCGACGTTCATCTTACAAAGTTTCATCACAATTTCCCTGTACAAGAATACGGGTAAACCGTTTGGGTCGACAGGAATGGATCTGTCAAGTCTTCTCTACACCCACAAACAGGTCCCTGGAATCTGTGTCAATGTGCACTGCTTCCCGTCACAAACGAATCTTCATCCATTTCTCAAACACCAATTGCGGTCAAACAACAGCAACAACAACAAATTCACCTCCACGCCCACGTTTTCAAGATAATAGAGCGTTATCGTGCACCTGAAATCCGCTTGTCAACTCATTGTCTGATTGGCTGGGCGTAGGGGCGCGATCTGACACTTTCTTTTACAGTATTTGTATGGGTCCGCTAGACTATATGGGGGTGTGTATGTGTTTATGGTTGGAGAAGGGATGGAGTGATGTGGTACGCGAGAGGATGTGGACTTGCCCATGACTGGTACCAGCGGTGTCAAGATCGGCCACTGTGGAGGAGGAGGCTCGTGAAGGACGCTATTGGGCAGTTGGAGGCAGTCGCCCTCCAGCAACAGCGGAGGGCGGAGGAGCGACGCTCACAACAACGAGCGGAGCGCCGGGCGATTAAAACACAGCAAGCTTGCACAGTAGGGGGCACAGGCCAGTCTCATCTCAGTCGGTCAACCCATGGCACCGCCTGGGTCTGTCCCGTCGTGACCTCCTGCCAGCGGGTGTTCGACACTTCACGTGGCCTTAAAGTGCACCTCGCCTGGCACAAGCGCCGTGGTGACATCACCGCCACTTGGTGGCGAATGGCGGTTGTTGTCATTTATTGGTCGTGTGTGGGGAGCGGTAATGTATTGGTTAGCGCACCCCTCCTCGAACGAGACCGCCCGAGTTCGATTCCCGCTCACGGCCAACAACAGTGACGAGATTATCCAAACCCTAGGTCGACTCAGCCGCAAATGAGTTACCTTGTGCGATGTGTTAAACAACATTGCCACCTTGGGAGACAAAGGCGGCCGGGCGTGGTGTTGGCTACCCCCAACCCGCTCTCGTGTGCCGGGGGGCGGGCCTTCATATAGATTGGTGCTCGCTAATGGCACTCTTCCCCCGGCAGTCTGTCAAGGCTGCACGGGGGAGCTTTGTCTTTGTGATCGCGAGAGCGGCGTGCGGCCACGCGCGCTTGTTTATTTGTCTCGCGCGATTGGTCAGCATTGGCGACATGGGGGACAATCTGAATCGGTGTTTTGCGTAATGAAATAAGGAGTCCTCGGTTGGTGAATGTCGAATTGTAGCTTGTGGTCACCGTAGCCGAGGGACCTGTCAGACAGATTTTTAAACCGCGTAATTTTAAAACAACAAAAATAAACTCATTGTCTTTAGTTGGACATTTACGGTCTTAACCAGCAAAGTGGTCGGTGTTGCCACGACTCGGTTGTGATTGGTCGAACTGGACAGTGGGCGTGACTTCTGTCCTCTTCGTCGTCCTCTCTTCTGATTGGTCCGCTTTGAGCGGCGACTGGTTGGGGTCCCCCTCCCATGTCGTCTCCTCCAGTACCCGTCGCTGATTGGTCGAATTGGGTGTCATGGGGGAAAGTGGGTGGGTGTGTGAGCCGGGACCTGGGAGGTCGTGAGGGATGGGAGGGGTGGAGGGGCGGGGGTAGGGTGAGGTGAGGGCCCCGCCCCTTCCCGCCCCCCCTCCCCCGCCTACTTCTCGCGAGATTTGGCGAGGAAAGGTCGCGCGCGGCCTCCATTTTGTGGCCCCAGGGCAGGAGGAGGAGGTGGTGGAGTAGAATTAGCGTCGCGTAGAGGCGGAGGAGGAGGAGAAGAGGTTTGGAGACAGACGTGTGGGGGAAGAGGAGCGCAAAGGAGAGACGGGAGAGAGGGAGAGAAAGCAGGAGCAGAGAGAGAGAGGGAGCGGTGGGAGGCGGGGATTCTGGCACCTCCGCGGCTGTGTTTACCACGGTACAGTGTTGCGTACAGTGCACGCGTTATGTAAACTTTAACCCCCCCCTCTCCCTCCCTCTCTTATCTGTGAGCGTGGCGCTGTAGACGGTGGAGCCGATGGATTTAGAGACACAAACACGGACACAACCGACACGCATCGCTGCTTGCGCGTGTGTTGTGTCGTGCCAGGATATCCCAGGCGTCGCCGCGTGTTTTCCATTCGGTGCCTGCGAATGTTGACATCGTCGGGACGCTTGGACCCTGGCTAGGGGATGGAGCTTTGTGCCTCCCCTCGGGTTGACTCCGCGTTTTCAAAACGAGTAACTTCAGCATCGCCTAAAGTGTAGCAGCGATGAGAGTGGTCGCATCGTGAAAAACAAAATTCTTCAAAGTTAATTAGATTAATGACTTGGCTGTTAAAGTGGTCGCAAAGTATAGCTGAAATGCACAATATCACACATTGCAAAAAACTGTAACGTACGGCGAAAATTACGCGATTAAATTATTGCATTATAATTTACGAAACAACGATATGGTGGACTC